TATCCCGAGGATCTCTTAGTATCCTCAATAAGTAAGTCGGGGATCTCTTGGTATCCCGAGGATCTCTTGGTATCCTCAATAAGTAAACCGGGGATCTCTTGGTATCCCAATATATATATAGAAACACATGTGCCAGGGATCTCTTGGTATCCCGCACCCTCAGTCCAGAATATCTCAAGTACAGAGGGATCTCCCGGGAAGCCGTCCCGCAGTCCCAAATTAAACACACAACAATAACGATTCCCAAATCTCGGAACAATGCTAAAAATCAGGACACGAAGTAGTAAATTATAGCCTAACATGCTTCACAGAGTACAAATAGCACTGTTAAAGCAAATAAGCAAGTAAGCCAGCTAAACATGAGTCTCTAAGCTAGCACAGGTACAAACTTACAGTTAAAATGAACAAGTAAACAAGAAAGCTCAATTTAAATACTTCAAGTAGAAACGGATTTACAACAATTAGCTCAAGTACGCGCTCGTCACCTCACGTACGGGGCATTCAAATATTCAAGATCATATCCTAAGGGAAAATGGTCCCCCACACAAAGTTAGACAAGACACTTACCTCGAACCGACTCAATATCAACTAGAAACCACGCTCTTGCCACGAGTATCCGACTCCAAATGACCCAAATCTATTCAATTCAATTACACATTCTAAATAACATCGCAAACACCTGGTTTTGCTATTAAATTTAAAGCTACGGCATGAAATTAGGTGAAATGACCAAAATGCCCTTCAGGCCAACGCCTCGGAATCGAATAATTTTCACATTTTTAGAACCCTCGTACCCTCCGAATGACCTGAAATTTTGCACACACATCCCAAATGACATGACGGAGCTACTGCAACTTCCAGAATTCCAATCCGACCCTCGGATCAAAAACTCACTATCGGACCGGAACTTCAAAAATTCAAACTTCGGCATTTCAAGCCTAAATGAGCTACGAGCCTCCAAAATACATTCCGAACACGCTCCCGACCCCGAAATCACCTAACGGAGCTAACAGAACCATCAGATTTCCATTCTGAGGTCGTCTTCACACTGTTCTGATTACGGACCATTTTTCAACACTTAAGCTCTCATTTAGGGACTAAGTGTCCCAAAACTCTCCAAAACTTAACACCGAACGTCCCGGCATACCAAAATAGCAGAAATGAACTTAGGGGAAGCAGTAAATGGGGAATCGGGGCGTAAATTCCAAAAACGACCGGCCAGGTCGTTACAACATCCTTTCATTAAATTCATCAAGCATGTATGATCGTGCCGTGGCAAAGTACAATTCGCTTAACTTTAGATGACCCTTCTTGAACTTTGCCCTTATATTTGTCCAAATATGCCACATGAAAGAATAATCTGGCATGCCGGGATAAACAATAGATGTTGCCTTCAAGATACTCTCATTCCAATTCGAAACAACACACATATTTGGTCTTTCACCATATGCATGTTTGAATTGCTCAAAAAACCACTTCCATGATGCGTCATTTTCTGAATCAACAACAACATATGCCAATGGTAATATGGTACCTACATTATGTGGCAGAAAGCAATTAATTGGCTGCAGGAAAAATGCAGAGGAAGACATATACATACAAACTACAACTTTTCAACAATATATCTACAAGTACTACAAAAAACAGACAAGTTACAATATTTCTACAATAAAACTACAATACCTGCTGCACCCATTGTACTAGCTGTTAGCATTATTCCCCTGTATGCTGACTTTAAGAAGGTCCCATCAACTACTACAACTGGCCTACAATATTCTCAACCACTGATTGACGTACAAATCGCAACAAATACATACAAGAAGCAGTCATCGTCCGTCTTCTTCAATTTAACTACAGACCCCGGATAAGTCTTCTCCAGAATATACAAATAACTAGGCAATTTACTGTAGGAGTCAGCAGGATGACCTCTCAAAAACTCCAAAGCCTTGTCCTTTGCTCTCCAAACTTGCATGTATGTTAAGTTCACGCTGTGTTCAGACAACATATCAGTTTTGTATATCTTTTGGTGTGTAAATTATCTTAGGATCAGCATATTTTGGAATAACCATGCTACCAACTACCATGTCAGTATGTTTGCGTTGTATGAATGTACTGTCCATCAAAGAGCATGTGTGCAAGCTGTTGAATTTTCTAACCTTGAACATTGCAGAATCATTTATGCTAGTTGCCTTGAAGTGCCATGTACAATTTTCACCAACACATACCAGCCAGTAGCTACAAAATAAAAATAATTAAAACACTGGTATAAAAAAAAACATTTGTAGCATAAAAGATCATCTTCAACAATTTATATACAAAACAACTACAAATGATCTACAATTTTGTTAAACAATATCACCAAAAAAACTGAAGAAGTAAAAATTTATAAATAAACTACAAAATAAAAAAGAATTGCAAGTGCAATGTTCCTACCTTCTAGCACTAGATCTTTTCATCCTAATTTGGAACTTGTTCATGACATAATAGTGCTTCATTGCACTTGCAATTGGTTGCTTGTCTTGGTATGCTTGGCCTACTTCAATAACATTTGGTGTACTTTCTGTTATTATTATACTTTCATATTCCACTATCGCCGGAGATGTTGGAATATCAATTAACTTCAGTGTTCCAGATGAACCTGCAATAAAATAAAGCTAAATACTGTTATGAACTATTTTTTGTAGATATTTTGTAGTTAATTTGTAGACATATTGAAATTCTGAATTTCATATTTAGCTACAAATGATATGTAGTTTTAATGTAGAAATATTGTAGATAGAATGAAATTCAATACTAATATATATATA